AGGTCAAAGTGACAAAGACCATGCAGAATAATTTGGTATTTTAATTCTACAGCAGAGAAAGATATGTCGTCTCTGTAAGTAGGTCTAGGAAAAAAAAACCATTGGTATCAGCCAAATAAGTGTTAACATGTTGGCATATCGGATATCGGTCAAAAATCCAATATCGTACATCCCTAGTTTTTTTACTTCCCAGCTTTCATTGCACGTGGCTGTTAGTGTCACTTTATCTTGCACAACGTGTGTAACTCATGTAGTCGTCATGCAGCAGCCAGATGACTCACACTGCTGCTCTGCAGCCATTAGTCACATATCTAGTTAGCACATGATGCTTGTGAACCCTTGCAGATTTGGACATTCTGCTCCTTGGCAAATCTGTCGTGCTTTGATTAGTTCATCTTCAGTCATAAACAAGACGTTTTAGGGGGATTATTTAACAGCAGTGTTCCTGTCCTCATGCCTCCGTTTGCCTGATTGACAGATAAAGTGAAGAAGCAGGACAGAGAGATCCGTGAGATGAAGCAGAAGATCGCCGAAGTGATGGCGGTCAGCCCCGGCATGTCCTACGTGGCTCCGCGGCCGCAGGTACCTCAGTATCTCACCAAGTTCCTCAACTCTGAGCGCTACATGCTGAACCCACGGGCGCTGATGTACCAGTGTCTGAAGAAATGAGCTCAGAGACGATGCCTTCCTCTTCAGGACCAGAGCTCTCGAGCTAAACGACACCTTGAAGACAGCCGCTTCCAGACACGAGCCTCCACTAGTCCAATGCCTTTTTCTGCACTGTTGGTGCTAACTGGATATCATTCTCCACGACTCCTGTTTCCTCCCATATCAAAACTCAAGAGCTTCACTCGAAAACGAGGTATTTAATATGCAGAGCCGCTGCAGGCGGCGTTTTATCCATAGTTGTTTAATTTAAAGTTAGCATTCAGCAGAGGAAGGCACATCATCATCACCACTGTTTCAGACCCTGTAGGTCTGCCGCTTGATGTGAGCGTTCACGAGACATCAGGAGTATTAAATTATTCTAATTATTAAAAGATGTGAACCAAAAGGTTTCCTGCTGCAGCTGTTAAATCTCTCATGACCTAAAGATAGTTGTGAGGTTTCTTTATAAGAACTGAAGAATGTAATATTTTATTCGAATAAAGAAAAAAAAAGTTCTTTTTTGCTTAAAAACTCACTAAAAAGCTTAAATAATCACCTTAATGTTGTTTAGCACTTGGCAACAAATAATTATCTGTTTTTATCTCTGATAAATCGCCAATGATGCATTTAGCCATTTTGATCTGTTGTGGTTTAAAAAAAGTTAATTATTTAATTACCGTATTTTTCAGACTATAAGGCGCACCAGATTAAAAGAGACATTAAGCGAAACAAGTTCATTTTGACATATTTTTGAGCACCGTATACCACATAAAATCATTTCGAGGTCAGTAAGCACAACCAGAATTAATACATAATGTGCACCGGATTATAAGACTCACTGTCGATTTTTGAGAAAATTAAATGATTTTAAGTGCGCCTTATAGTCCGAACATTACGGTAAATTTCGTGCTGATGCTCGAAGTCAGGACAATGAAACTGAAGCAGCTAAATGGAATTTAGCCATAATTTATCTTGTTTACAATAATAAACATTGATGTGAACAGAAGTATTCTCATGTATTTGAGATTTTAAGCAACAGATTTTTTTTTGTCTGAAATTTTTTTATTGATATGAATCAAATATCTCAATTGTAAGGAGATCAAAAAACAACACAAGTCTAATGTAAGTGAAGTTTAATTTAAATCTAAAACGTCTATTTGATCACATTCAAACAATATTGTTTATACCTTTGGAAACATCAACGTGACAAGTTTGCAACCAGATGTTCTTGTCAGCTTGTCTTGACTGTAAATAGAGAAATATTTGGGTTGTACTGAAATTCAGACAGAAGTTGTGGTTTCATCAAGTTAAAATGTTTGTTTTATATTTTTTATCGTTAAAAAAAACCTGTGTTTTTGGAACGAGCCCCTTTAGAGTTGGAATATTTCTACGTGACGGACGTCAGCGTTGTACGGAGCGTCCTGTTTGCGGTCTGGGAGACTCCTAGGATCGGTCAAACGATGCTTTGTTGTCACGGCAACCTGATAAATGGAGAAGCTGTTGACGGGAGGTGAGCTGACCTCTGGGACTGTGAAGGAAATGTAAACCAAACATGGCTGACGGATTTAATTACTGTGCCTACATACAATACTTTCAAACTGGAAGGTAAAACACTAATTAAATGTGAAAGAGTGACGTGTTTGAAGTGCTATGTACTGTTTTTGTAGTTTTTTTTTGTTGTTTTTTTTTACTCACAAATGTACAGAATTGAAAATACACGCGTCACTGGAAAACGAGGGAGACGTGGCCGTTCCGGTAGCTTTTTATTTAGAGCGTGTTTCTTCGGGTGTTTTATAAGAAAGCTATTTTTTAGTCTCGCCGTACTTTGACTGCTGTACATTTTGTACGGCAGGGTCGTTCATGTCGGCATGAAACGTGTTTTATTCAACCGTCGTGAATTTCTGTATACCGTACATGAATATACTTGTACAAGGGCTACCATTTGTAAACATTTTGAACAAATGATTCAAACAGTGATGCTCTGGGGTGAGAGATCACACTTCTGATACATCAGGAGGAGGTTTTGTATGAATTATTTGAATAAACTATTGAATTTTGTCTCATGGGTTCGTCATTGTGCACATTATTTGGCAAAACACGAGAAAGGCTTTTTGTGAAGGTCGTTTAGTTAAAAAGACTTTTTTGTAAGCAGTGGTGCAGATCTGAAGTTTTATGGAAAAGAAGTATCTTACCTGTTGTAGATGGCTCTTTGAACAGCCTCCATTTTGAGGAGTTTTAACACCAATGTGGACGGATGCCGTCTTAAAAAAATAAAATACTCGCATCAAAGATTTCATGAGATTGCAAATTCCTGACCTCAAAGTCTAAAAATCGACTGGTGCATGAAAACCTGTAAAAGCTGCAGCGATAAACTTTTTATATTAACTTTTGTCGATTCGCATCTGAATGAGTCCCGCACACAACGCAGTACTTTTTGGTTTTTTTGTTTGGACCTTTAGTGCAGCAAAAACGCAGACGAATGTGACTTCTGCTTAAAATGGCTGAACCAAAGTGCCACTAGTTGGCAAAAAGTGTTTTAGTTGAACTAGTGGGCAAAAAACAAGTTTCAAATCAAAGGATGCCAATTAAAAAAATATATATAATGTGTGTGTGTATGTATGTATATATATATATATATATATATATATATATATACACACACAAACAGTGAGGAAAATAAGTATTTGAACACCTGCCAATCAGCAACAGTTCTGGCCCTCAAAGACCTGTTAGTCCTTCTCTATAACGTCCACCTCCACTTATTGTTCTAAATTAGAAACACATGTTTGAGGTCGGTAGCTGCATAAAGACACCGGTCCACCCCACACAATCAGTAATACTCCAACTACTAACATGGCTAAGACCAAAGAGCTGTCCAAAGACACCAGAGACAAAACTGTAGACCTCCACAAGGCTGGAAAGGGCTACGGGGCAATTGCCAAGCAGCTTGGTGACAAAAGATCAACTGTTGGAGCAATTATTAGAAAATGGAAGAAGCTAAACATGACTGTCAATCTCCCTCGGACTGGGGCTCCATGCAAGATCTCACCTCGTGTCGTATCAATGATCATAAGAAAGGTGAGGAATCAGCCCAGAACTACACGGGAGGAGCTGGTCCATGACCTGAAGAGAGCTGGCACCACTGTTTCCATGGTTACTGTGGGTAATACACTAAGACGTCATAGTTTAAAATCATGCATGGCACAGAAGGTTCCTCTGCTAAAATAAGCACACGTCCGTCTCAAGTTTGCCCACGACCATTTGGATGATCCAAAGGAGTCATGGGAGAAAGTTCTGTGGTCAGGTGAGACCAAAATAGAACTTTTTGGTCTCAATTCCACTCGCCGTGTTTGGAGGACGAAGAATGAGGAGTACCATCCCAGAAACACCATCCCTACTGTGAAGCATGGGGGTGGAAACATCATGCTTTGGGGGAGTTTTTCTGCACATGGGACAGGACGACTGCACTGTATTAAGGAGAGGATGACCGGGGGCCATGTAGTGAGAGATTTTGGGGGAACCTCAAACCTGGTAAACTACAGGAAACCTTTGACCTCTAATTGCAAACAAAGACTACTGTACCAAATATTAACATTGATTTTCACAGGTGTTCAAATACTTATTTGCAGCAGTAACACACAAATAAATTTATAAAATCATGTGATTTGTTTTTTTATGTCTCTCACAGTGGACATGCACCCAAGATGAAAATTTCAGACCCCTCCATGATTTCGAAGTGGGAGAACTTGCAAAGTCACAGGTTGTTCAAATACTTATTTTCCTCACTGTATATAATGAAGCTTGTTATAAAACGGGTGTCAAACCCACTTACAAACGTGGGCCAAAATTAAAACCTTTTTCAAACTAAGGTCCGGTTTCAGAATCTACATTAACTCAAGTTATATATCAAACATATTTTGACAAACATATTTGACATCATAATCAAAGATTACTGTAAAAAATAAAATGATAAAAGTATTTTACATTTAAAATGTCTGGGGGAGGACCCAGAGAACTGTCAACGAGGGCCACATTTGGCCCCCGGGCCTTGAGTTTGACACGTTATAAAAGGAACACCAAACAAAAAAAAGTGCTGCAGCCATTTTTATTTTCTTCAAGTGTAAAAAGATAAAAGCATCGTGGAAACAGCGCAGTGTCCAGCGGGTCAGGCAGTCCTGCTCGTATCTACAGACCCGGTCCGGAGTTGGAGAATAGAAAACGAGATTAAATGGCCTACATCCCTTTTATTGGTGTGAACAAGCCCCCCCGAGAACATAGGACATTTCTATATTAGGACACAGAAAAGTGTAGCTGTAACAGAAAGATCCTCCAACAGGAGAACTGTGGCACCATCTACAAAATCTATACATTGAGAAGAGAATGAGTTCTTAGTGTGAAAGAATCCTTAAAAAAAAAAAAAAAAAGACGACTGAACCAACTCTAAAGCCAGTTTATTCTGTGCACAGAGACAGAGCGTACATGAGTCCAACAACAGAAGTTAAAAATCGAGTAAAATGACACCAAATAAAACGACTCGTGGAGCGGGGGCGCGGCGTGTTTCAAAGTTGGACCACGGCTTCTTAACGGAAAGTCACGGCACGACTGAAAGAAAATGCAGCTAAAAGTGTCCGATCAACCACCAGCCTCGAGCCAGAAATGAAGAATACGAGACAAACTGGAAAATAAATAAAATATTTTAGCTCATCAGATCAGTTGAATGACTTTGTTGTAAAGTTGAAGAGAATTTCTAAATAAACTTGACGCTGCTTCCGTTTCCTCACCACCTTAATGCTTTCCAGTGGTGTCCAAAAACCCGACCCGACAACCAGACTCGCAACACTTCATCACGTCGGGACGACAAACAAAGACAACTCTATCAAACGAGTTTAAGTAAAAATGTTTAAAATACAATTTTTAACACTGACTTATGGAAAACGCTGCTGCTGTTTTTGACTCACTTCTTTACCATGAAAGAAATGAGACAAACAGGCAAAGCACTTGGATTTTTCCATGAAGTTGCAACTAGAATTTCCTCTTGAAGGAGAAGCAGATGGCTGTACTGGATGGGGGCTGAGGGGGGAGAAGGCAGCAACCACTTAGTGGCAGCTTTTCTCACCAGAACATACGAGAAGAGGAAGCAGGATCTGCGGTCGGACCAAAGCTGCTTCCTTCGTCCTCGCAAAGCTTCCCTGCATCTCAGACGTGGAGCTTAAAGCTAGTCCTGCTGTGGAGGACGAGGAGGGCTGAGAGAAGGCCTGGAGAGTCCTCGACTACGAGGAAACCGTCACTGGGTTCAGAGAACCGTTCCGGCTGAAGAACTTCGAGAAGGCCTCTTCGAGCACGGATGCGAGTCGCGGCTGGTCGCCCTGAAACAGACAAAACAAATCCTCAGCTGTGGTTCTAGAGCGGCTCTGTGTTGGGCGCAGGGAAGTCCACACACCTCGCTGATGAACCCCAGCTGAACGAGTTCCACGGCCAGCGCCTGCACGTTCTCATCTAAAGAAGAAAAGATTTGAATTTATTCAAACTGTTCCCAAATCTAATTCATCTAGAAGTATTTTTGTTTAGCTCTAACAATTTACCAACACACACTGCAGTCAAGTCAAAAAATACAATTTCATACTCTTCCACTCAAAATTTTGAGAACTTGCACAGACTTTTGGGCCTTCTCCATCTTGAAAACATTTGTAAATTTTATGTGAACCCTTATACAGTGATGCTTTTATTATTGCAAGTTTTAAATAAAAAAATAAAATAAAAAATGCACATGCTACAGAGCTGGGTCAACTTGTAACAGAAAAGTTGTTTAATGTGTTTTTAACAAAGTTAATGATCTGTAAATATGTATCCATATACCATGCAGAGTGAGGCTACAAGGAGCAGAGGTCACAAAGGTGCAGGACTTCAAGGACTTGGGGTCCACTGTCCAGGAAAATAGGGAGTGTGGTGAAGAGGTGAAGAAGAGAGTCCAGGCAGGATGGAGTGGATGGAGAAAAGTTTCAGGAGTGATTTGTGACAAAAGAGTGTCGGCAAAGGTCAAAGTAGTGTTGTAGTAGTACTCGAGACCGGTCTCAAGACCACTTTTTGATGGTCTCGTTCTCGTCTCGGACATTGAGGACTCTGGATTTTATTTCAAGACCAGTCAAGACCACAACTGTGGAAATATCATTAAACTGCCAGAATATCGTCCAGTTTATTTGTAACATCTTTGTTTTTATTGGATGCAAAACGTACTGGTTCAAATCCAAGTGATAAAGTGACTCTTTGCTGAATACATTTTTTTGTTACCACTGTCACGCCCACCCCCTTTCACTGGCATGCGTCACTCCCAGTGTGGCCAGATTGGGCGGTTTACTGCCAATTGGGTGGTTTTCATTAGGATTTTGCTGGGAACTCTGGGAAGATTTTTGTTGGATTATTGCATTTTGCCACATATTGTTAAATTAGCTTGGCTTGTACCGATGTGCGTTCATGTTCAAACGGTAAATATAACAATATATTGAATGGGCAGACTTTTGACCGATATGGCGGTTTTTAACAGAATTTTGGGCGGGAAAACCTCGACTATCTGGCAACACTGGCACTCCAAGGAAGTGAGAAGAGATTGTCTGGGCACGGGAGATGTCTGTCATATCATCACTTATAAAATTTGGCTATTTAAATCACAAAGAATATACTTGTAACTCATATCCATTTATGTGACTTTTTTAAGGTGTACATCTACTACTTTACTGAAACCACTGTGCAACTATATGGTTATCCTTGGTCTAGAGTTTGGATTTATGAAGACTGTTTTGCCACTGCAGTTTTTTTAAGGCTAACCACAACCAAAATGCATCCCATTAGTTTTCAGACTTGTTTTAGTTTTGTTTAGTTTTAAAGGGCATGGAGGTCCAGGTGGAGATTTTCAGAGTTATGATTGTCCACCTCCAGCCCTCAGGCTGTATGTTCCCCATGTGTCTAAATGTTTTCATTAAAAACTCCAAAAACAAAGATACTGATGACATAAACTGTAAAAATTAAGGCTTGAAGCAAACATTGGGAAGACTATCTCCATCTTTTATATACAAAAAAAAAATGAAAATTGCTTGGCTTAGCTGAGCAACTACAAAAAAATAACATGAAAAATATTTCAAAAACGGAATGGGGTGAAAGTCTATAAACACAAATATTCCTCCTTCCTTTATTCCAGACATATCTGGGTCTGAGAATGACTAAAAACCAAATTCCATATATTTTATTTACTCGGATTGTGATACTCACTCGGTAACAAATCACAGCTCAGGTGCCTGTTCAGTTTATCCTCCAGCTTCAACAGCAACGTCAGCTGGAGGAACAACACGAGTTTAGGAACATTCTGAGCCCACAGGCAGGACGAGACAAAGATGATCTCTGAAGTAAAGGCTCGTGAGACGAGATGCGACAGGAACTCACGTGGTGTTTTGTTCCCTCGTCAACGGGCTCGATGTTGCACTGCATCTGGAGAACCTGGAAGCGTAAGAACTGTTAGCATACAAAACATTTATTTGGTTTTTTACAGAATGTACATTTAAGTCTGACGGTATCCGACTGCAGACTCCTTTCAGGTCGTACCTTCCTGGTCTCGACTTCTGCAGGTTCAGGTGTCGGGCTTTTGACGGAGGGGGGAACTACGGGCAGCTTTACAGCTTCCTGCTGAGGCTGCTGTGGACGGGAAATCCCAAACGCAGTCAGGGGATAGATCCCATTCCTGGCAAAAGCAGAACGACTGTGTTACAGAACGCATTTGGCTCAAACGTGACAACTACTACAGGTTTTACTCAACATTTAGCTCCGTTTGTTCACAAAGAGCTGCTCAGTAAAAGCTACTCTGATGCTACATTCTCCAATCAACTGACTGAAGTCACACAATCAGTTAATTAAATTTAAACTTGTTTTCCTTACCTCACATCTTCCAGAAACTTATCAAGCTCGAGGGCAGGAAACTGGGAGAGTCTGATGGAAAATAAAAATCAATATACTGCATCTAGCAGATCAGCAGAAATGTTGTAATATTTCATCAGGATAACCAAAGTTCAGCTTTCATATCGAAGGATTTTACTTTGGCTCACTGCTGTCCACATGTAAACGTTTCAGGATTTAAAACTTACTTCATCTGAACTCCCTCCTTGGCCTCAACAATCACCAGGTTTGGGTCCATGTTCTTCGTCATCTCCTCTAAAGCATTTTCTGGAATCATGTCTAGAAGGATAAAAAAATTAAATAAGAACCGATAGAATTGCCAAGGACTGTTTATTGTATCAATCTAAACGCACTGCAGTACAGTACTGGGACAGTAAATGAGGGTTTAAAGTGCACATATGTGACCAATGCTGCCAAAATAAATCAGAATATGCAAATACTGCAGCGTCAAAACACGTAAAAATATTTATTTTTACTGTCATTGAGATTTGCATGACAAATTAATTCATAAAGAAACCATGTATTAATCCCAATAACTAAAACAGCATCTCCCTTTTCTACCTTCAGATCAAAGATTTCTAACAGGTTAGCTCCAGAAATAATCTTTTTATTTTTCCTTTGAAATTTTCTCTGTCTCTCTGCCAGCTGCCGTAATGCCAGGAAATCCCTTTGTATAATGTTTGGAGTCATCCTTTTAGAATATACGGCTGGAAGTCCCGATTACTTCTTTCCTCATAGATAAAATCAAATTTCCAAACCAGCACTTGTAAAACACACCAAGCTTGTTGCCAGGCCACGTGATGAATTTTTACCAGATGACATTTTTACAGCACGGCTCACATTTGTTTTGCTTACAGATTCACAATTTCATTACTGAGGCCAAAGATTTGGATTACATGCGGCTTTATGCTTTAAGAACATGTTGTTTTTGTCATTTGAGATACATGTCGTTACATCTTAAACTTTGAACATTTTAAGTCTCATTTTCTACGGCATCAAATGAATTTTGACACCCGTCAAAAACAAATCATTTGGTCTTCAAAACAAAAAAATCACACCTTTAAAGTACTCGAGTGACAGCATTTAGTTTTTACATGTTTGACTGAGACACCTGGCCCTTATTTTTTTTAATTGCTTTTTGTTGAATTCTTGTCTGTACTTTATATGTTGTCTGTGCAAAACGGGTCTCTCTTAAAAGTCAGTCCTCGTGACTCAATGAGACTAACCTGTATGAATAAAGGTTGAATGAACATTTAACTACTCAAAAAAATAAAAACCTAAAAGACAGTTCCTGGTGTCGGAGACAACAGCAAACAGTTCTGTAGCAAGATGTTTGAAACATGAGGGACTAACTGCACATCTTTAAACTGAAGGCACTAAAAGCCAGTATTTAGGCAGACAAAATCCTGTGTGTGTGTGTGTGTGTCCTTGTTTATGCTACTTTGTGAGGCCCATTTTTCCAACTTATACTGCATTGTGAGGACCAACTGCTCCTTATGGGGCCCAAAGCCCGGGCCCCATAAGAAGAAGTCCCGTTGGTGGGTTAGGGGCTAGGTTTAGGACTAAGGTGTGAATTGAGGATGTGTTAGGTTTAGGGTTAGGTATGTACTGGTAATGGTTAGGTTAAGGATAAAGGTCATGGTTAGGCTATAGAAATGAATGAAAAATGAATGGAAGTCAATGCAAAGGCCCCATAAAGATAGCAAAACAAACCTGTGTGTGTGTGTGTGTGCGTGTGTGTGTGCGCTCACGCTGGTGGCTGACAATGCAGTGTGCTGCCAGCAGCTTGAGTAAGGGCACCTCGAACAAGGCTGGGTGAAACAGCAGCTCCTTGGCTGTGGGTCGCTTGTTGGGGTCGACCTCCAGACACTTCTGGATGAATTCCTGAAAACAAAAAAAACGATGGTTTGCTCCTAAACGCACACTGCGATCTCAAACCCCAGCTCTTTTTCTACCAACCCGCTGCAGTGGGTCTTCTAAGGACTGGATGGCACTGTTTATGGCTTCTTGGGACACGTAGGACGAATCTCCATTACTCTGGATTTCCAGCACAGCCATCTGACCAGACAAGAGTTACAGGTGCAAAACATGAACAAACAACCAATATCATGTCCCGAGAGAGGAAACCTGGTCACCAGTAAAGAAGAAAGATTAGTTTCAAGCCTGGAGCTAAACTATTTATTCAAAGCTTTAAATTTTTTTTATCAAGAAGCCGGATCTTCATTTGACTTGAGCACCAAAAACCACTGAATTCTCAAGTAATGTTCAGGGCAGTGAATATTAAGAACTATGCTTGAAAATCTAGCTGCTATTATTACTAACCCTTAAAAAGTTGAACTGTCTGTTAAACCACAACAATGTCTCCGCTCACCTCTAAGGCGCACATTCCAAAGGAGTAGATATCCACGGCTGTGGTAACATTGGCAACAGCTGGAAGCAAAGAGAAGCTAAATCAACACGACAAAAACGAACTCTGCAGCTGAACGTGAAGTCGGCAGGCTCTTACCTCCATATTCTGGAGCAAAGAAGTGAAGACACTTCTGCTCCTCCCGACAGGTCTTTACGTGGTTGTTGATGGTGTCAGGAGCAACTAAGAGAGTAGAAGCAAAACTCTTAATGACAGCCCTGCTGAACACAACAGGAAGTTTGACTGGAGACGGGTGTTTATGTTAATATTGTTCACTTTTACAACTTCCGGCTGCTTTCAGGGGTCTCACCTGAGCCGATCTTGATGAGGCCATTGTGCTGGATGAAGATGGTGTCACAGGTGAGGTTGCCGTGGATGATGGCCGGTTCACAGGAGTGCAGGTAACTGGATGAAAGAAGAACGGTTACAAGGACTTCTATACAAGCTTTTAACAAACGACAGATGTGTACAGAAACCTGCTTAGACTTTAAATGTTGGTAACTGTTACAAACTTGATAAATAAAGTAAGAATATGAGCTGTAAGTTATTCAAAAACTCTGAGCAGCTTGACCAAGATGTCCGGCTCACCTGAGAGCGGACAGGATCTGTGTGCACCAGCGCTTCCAGGCCTGCCAGAGCAAACAGGTCATTAGAAACGTATCTTTACGTTAAATATGATGAGAAAGCAATCAAAAACTGGCCGAACGGGATCTGTAGCTCATCAGCGTCACTTCTGAGTCCCAACAGTTTTCCGCACCTTTTCATTCATGGTCTTGTGGTTTTTCTTCGTCTTTTTCAAAAACTGTTTGAGGCTTCCCGATGACATGTACTCCGTGATGAAAATGACCTAAAGAGAACAATAAAATAAGAAGAAAACCGAACGCAAACACAAAATCTGACTGAAAAGACTGAACGTCTGGGGTGGTTTCGTACCCGGGCTCGGTTTTCTTTGACATCAGCCCAGTACTTGTGGAACTTCACGATGTTCAAGTGCTCCAGCTGGATCAAGTTGTCGAACACAGCTTTCACTTTCTCCTGTGGATGATAAGATAAAAATAAATTAAAAAAAAGCTGTAGTTCCCGATAACAAATCTTTATTTACAATATAAATGTGGAAATCCTTCATCTACGATCTGAAAACAAAGTTCTATGTTCGTCCTGTTTCAGGATAACATCAGACTTTTACAGATTTTCAGGTCATTTCCTGTAAACGTACAGAACAAGCTATGCAGAGTTATTTACACCGATCGTGTGTGGATTGTTACCGTTTAGTTTCTTACCTACATGTTTCTGTAATCAAACTACTTGCACATACTTTTATGGTATTTTAACTACTCATAAATCAAAACGTTCGACTTGATCAGGAACAGTTTGCTCTGGCTTTGTGTTTTTATTTTGAAACTTTTAAATTAAAATCAACTTTATTACAAAAATGTTTCCCATGAAAACAAACAAAGATTTCTTAAATTTTTAAAAAAAACATCTGAACTCTACTTCAGCTAACCTGTCCTGATCCTTTTAGCTACCATATTGCTAACTGTAGCTTTTTGCTACTGTTGCACTATATTTAGCCTTTAGCTATTTTTACCTTTTAGGTACCGTTTTTATGTTGTTTTAGCTCTTAGCTACTGTTTTACTGGTTTTAGCTAATATTTAACCAATTTCAACTTACAGTTATAATTTTACCATATGTAGTTTTGGGCTACATTGTTAATTTTGGATTTTAGCTACTATTTAGCTTATTTTAGCTTGCGTTCTGCTTGAACAACTCCCTCATCAAATCCTTCTACAGTGACAGGGACGGGCTCTCTCTTTAGTTTAGTTGGAGCTGATCCTGTTTGGGCCAACGGGTGAACATCAAAATACGACACCAGCTGCTTTGAATCAGGGTCCAGTAAAAATGTTTGTTTCGCAAACACAAAAGAATAACAGAAAATAAATAAAAACAGCTCCTGTGAACCGAGAAAACCTTTCAACCAGGTTTATAGAAACAAAAGAAGAAGAGCTGCTCCTTGCCTAGGACCTTGACTCGAGTTGCAGAGGAACTGGAACCAATATTTGCCTCAACTGGACCTTCTCCCACATTCTGGTATAAAAGAACCAACAAACACTGGAGGCAACATGAGCGCGACACTATGGAGACTCCTTCGTTAGCTGAGAACTTCCTGTGCAACAACTCTGTCGACCCGTTAAAAGAAAGCATAAAAGCGCTCCCGAGTAGAAAAGATGACACAAAAGGTGTATTTTACTGCCCTCACCTCTTGTAGTTTGAAGTTCTTCCTCTCCGAGAACATGACCTCGTTCCACACCACCTCCACGCCCTCCTCCGTGTCCATGGCCAAGTAAGCATTATCGATCCCTGGCACGTTACGCTGATTCACCTTTAGGACAGGGGTGATACTTTCACTAAATGTTGGGGGGGAAAGTACTTGCATGTAGCTATGTTCAAAGAGGAATAATCTTTTATAGGTGCTACGGCACATTTACAGCTTGTAAATCAAAATGCTGGACATAATAACGAGTCTAAGCTTATTTCTTGTACATATGCTGCATGTTAGATGAGCTGCACATTGAATAAAACCCTCTGAAGGTAAAGTAGGAACAAGGAGTGGTCTGTTTAGGTTTTATTCTTGGCAGTCTGAGCTCACATCGAGTAGCTTGGTTTGACGTTCTCTTCTTTAGTTGACAAAATAAAACGGTTTTAAGCGACCTGAGCCTGCCAAGACGGGCAAAGGACCTGAGCACAAGTCAATTAGCAGCACTAGTTAGCAAAATATCTCATGAACCACTGGACTGATTTTCCAGTGGCTAATCCTTAGCAAAAACAAAAACGTCTCTAACTCAGCCAGTTTTACAGGTACGGAGCAGAACTCCTGGGTTGTGGTAGCTGAGAGTCCTCTCCATCAGGATACCTGAGTGTTGTTTTGTGATGAGCTCCGGTATGATGCTGTTTTCAAAGTGTGACCACAACAGATGTGAGCATCATGTAACATGAAATGGTCTTAGTTTAACATTCTGACACTTCAAAAATGTATCGACTGCCTTTTTTCTTCCAACAAACTTAACAGTTTCCTATGCACATATTTTCTTGTATTTTTATTCTGTACTCTTGATGCCTTCTTTGCTTGTACTTCTAAACAACCTGTTTAAAACCCTTAAAACGTGAGTAATCCAGGACAATTTACTGTGGTTACTTAGATTTTAGGCAATAACTGACATGTTTTCATTGTTTAACACTTATTTTTTTTAACGTTACACGTTATAAAATTGTTCTCCTACGCATTCAAACAAAAAGTCAACTATCCATACCTCTTCTCTGCGTTTCTGCCAGCGTCCACACGGACTTTCCTCCAAAATCTCGGACTCGTCCTCGCTCTCCTCCTCGTCGTCCTCCGTGGCGGCGGCGGGCTGGGAGACGGCGGACACCGGCGGAGACACTCCGGGGCCCGCGGGGGCAGAGGCCCCGGACTCCGGCTTCGGCTCCTGGCTGCTGTCCGGGGCCTGCTGCTTGTTCTCTCCCTCAGACATCCTCCTCAGCTCTCAGGCCCAACAGCCTGCGGGCCTGACGTTCACAAACACTGACATTATTACGGTATTATTGTTAGCAGTTAGCTAGCTGGAGCGACCGTTCGTTTTCAGAGGAAGTTGGCCTGAAATCGATGGCTCTCACAGGGGGAAACAACACAGCACACATCAAACACAAAGTCCTTACTTGTTAGTTGGTAAACGTAACGATGACAGCTCCAGTTTATCAGACTCAACAGTGACAGATCAAACCTAGCAAGCTTTAAAGTCCCCCCGTTAGCATGAAGTCTTTCCGTCAGCGGAGATGCGGATTCTCGCTTTGTGGCGCCGCTAACTCCTTGGCTCGTTACGAAAAGCAACAAGCAGCCGGAGAACGTGCAAGCAGCGCTTACAGTCGCAAATTAATTAAATAAAAGCGTCGATTATTGCACCTTGCTAGCCAGCGACAGTTTTAACAGCCCAGCCTCTCTCTCCGCTGCTTCTCAAGACTCCAGGCTTGCTAATGTAAAAACAACTCCTGCCTCTGGTGTGAGTAAACAACACAACTAATCGTGTTTACTGGTAAATAACAACACAACCGATCGCAAAAGCGCCACGTACGACTCAGTAAGAAGTTTAATATGCTAATAAGTGTATCTAACGTCACTGCAGCCGACTACTTCAGAGCTAGCTCAACATTTAGCCACTTATGATGGCGACAACTTCCAGATGAACGAGCTACGCGTCAGAGCCGAGGCTGGTTGCCAGGTACACGTTGAAGTGAACGATTCTCCGTTTGGTTCAAAAATGATTGGTTTGGTTAAAATGAAATTGGTTTGGTTAAAAAATATATATTTTTTAAATGGTTTAAAAAATGATTTTTTTTTTTTATGTAACTGAAGAATCTGTATTTTTTGTTAAAATACTAAGTGACTGCTGAAAGACTTTGTTAAAGAGACTAAAATTTCAGGTTCAAATCTGCAACACAAAAGCTAAAATCAAATAAATCCCAAACGTCTGAACCAGCAAAACAGTGTTTAAAAAACAAATGAACAAAAAAGTTACTAAAAGCCAAAATGAGCAAAATAGCAGCTAAAAGCTTACACTAACAAGGCAGTAGATCAATATAAAAAACAGGAAAATAGAAGTCAAAATCTAACATTAGGAAGAACACTAGCTAAAAGCTAGGACTTTTAAACACTAGCTAAAAAACTAGCAAAACACTAGGTAAAAGCTAAACCAAAAGAACACTAGCTGAAAACTGAGACCAGTAAAGCACTAACGAAAATTCAACAGACCAGTACAGAAAAGATAAATTTGTGAAACACTAGCTAAAAGCTAAGGTGGTCAAAACAAGCAAAATCTAAGATGCAAAAGAGTAAGCACCTAAATGAAGCAATTATAATATAATTATACAGAGAGTGGTAGCACAGAGGCTAGAGAAGGTGGGCCTGTGATCAGAAGATCATTGGTTCAAGCCCCGGTACCCACAACATCAAAAATGTGGGCCCATGAGCAAGGCCCGTAAGCACCATCTGCTCCCCAAAGAGGTCTCACTTGAAAATGAGTTCTCATGGCTCAATGAGACTACCTGTATAAATAAAGGCTAAGTGAAAACAAAGAAAAAAATAATAATGAAGTAGATTTCAGAGCACAAGAGTTTTTGATAGATTTGAAGACTTCTCCACTCATTTTAATGAGTGAAAAAATGTAAATAAAGGTCAAAAATTCAAAATGTTTAAATGTTACAACTGACAGGAGCCTCACCTCAGTTTTTTTTGTACCATCTGGAGACAATCATATTTTTTAAGATGTGTAAAACTACATTATTCTCAATAAACAAATGTAAATAAAAGCATGAATATATCTACTTTTCCTCATTTTGTTCAATGTACAGTAAAAATTATATACATTTTTATTTTTGTTCAATAAAACCCTATTAATTTAAAAATTCGGTTAGTTACAAAAACATGTAATCTGGCAACCCAGTTCTTAGCAACCTCACGTTGGTATTTATTATGGACGCAGACTGAAAGGAAATTCAACCAATCAGATTGTAGTTTTGTACCAGTGGGCGGTTCTTCGATTGAAACAGCCACCGACGACGAGGAGCTGAACGTCCTTCTCAAGGTGTCAGTTTAGCTGACATCCAAGTTTTTTATTTATTTTGGACATGATTGCCTTTCCTTAAATTCCATTCATGAAACCCTTGTAAAGATACAGATGCTCACTAAATTTGATTGTTGTATTTGTTTTTTCTCTGTATAACACTCAGTTATGGGATTTTGTAGAAAAATAATTGAACATATTTATTCTAACGTTATCAGAGCTGACAAACCTTTGAATTTATTGCAATATTTCCAAGTTGATTGATTTTTAAAAAAAGCTTTGCCCCTGAATATTAACATTTATTTACAAAACATGCTTTTGAGGGGGACATACAACACTTTTTTTTTTTTTTAACAAATTTCTGCAAAGTCAAAACATTGTTCCCCCAATCATCCATGAAATATTGCTTAAGGAGACAACTAATATATTCTATTCGGTTAAACTCCACACTGTAAACTGGACATGGTCTCAGTTCGAGAAGTCTCTTCCCCTCCTTTTTCATGAAGGTCTATATTTAGGAGCAGCAGCTCCAGGGACAAGTTGCTGGTGTCAGAACCTGCTTGTTGACTGTCCTGGAGCAGTGACAGCTCTCTCCAGAAAATTAAGGAACTAAAAGTTATTTTCTGACGCAGGGAAGTTATACAGGAAGTTAGGGACTGTTTTGCAACCGCTTGTGTTGGTTTGTGCAAAGAGAGGAAAGACCCTGAGATTTGTTTGTTCACTCTGAGGTGATGGAGGACGAGAAAAGCCCAGGGAGAGTTCCTCTGGTTGAGGAAACCAAGGTGAAGCTGCTTTACGACACCGAGGCGTCACTGGAGCACGATGGCAACGTCGACTACGGCGTTACGGGGTCAAACTCCATCTACTCTGCCATCCTGAGCAGAAATGAGGCCGTCAAAGATGCGACGCGTCTGAAGACCTTCTTGGAGCTGCGAGACAAGTACGTGAAGAAGAACGTTGTGTTCGAAGACCCCCTGTTCCCTGCAAACGACTCCTCGCTTTTTTATAGTCAGAAGCCTTTGATGAAGTTTGAGTGGAAACGTCCCTCGGTGAGTGCTGCTCTCTGGTCAGATTAATGGGATCAAACCGCCGACATGTTCTCCTGCATATCTCTGCAGCATAGTGTGTTGGGCTGCATGAGGAGGATCCGCATAGCTGTGGGCCTCCACCCCTCTCACCACGCCTCTCTCAGCCCAACATAAATGTGATTTACCCAGAGTGCCTTCTGACACACATACCTGCAAGGCTGTGAAAGTTTTGAATAAGTTGCCTTTAATGACGAGTATCTTTGACAGCAGCTGTTTGGCAGCAGGAGACATGACCGACCCCGACTCAAATATCTGCCGACATACAGAGACTCAGATTCAACCTTTATTTATACAACTTAGTCTCACTGAGCCACTATAGGCCTCATTTACAAGAAAGACCTGTTTTAAACAAAGAACACAGGTGAGGTACAACAGTAGACAATCATATAAAAGCATGTAAAATTAAAAAGTAAAGAAATTATATAAAAACGAAACAAAAAAACAGCAACATTATAAATCGGTGTAAAATGCTAAAAGCAGGAACGTCTGCATTGGTTTTTGCCATGAACTTAGCAGATGTTTAAAATCCCTTAGAGAGGTCAAGGTCAAGAGCTTCAGATCTTTTTGCAAGGTGTTCCAGGAAACAGGAGCGGATTGGGAGAAGGCCCCTTTGCCTAGTTCAGACCTCACTGAGGGGACACTGCAGGTAATAATGTCCTGAGAGCGCACGCTAACTGAGTTGTAGCCTTTTTTGTGTTTTGAAAGGTCATTTGGCTGTGACGACCATCTTGAAATGGGTTGGCTCCAACAAGTTATCAGTTGCAGATGTTCACCCGATAACTCATTTGCACAAGTTTCATTTAAATCCATTCAGTGGTTCATAAAATATTTTGCTAACGGACAAATTTTAAGCAGAAATTTCTCCGTTAGCGCTCATAATAAGTGTTGAGCATGACTCTCAAACGAAAATGGCTGCAACTCATTCGATTTCACGGAAACTGAGCTAGAATTTGGTGTAGCAGGTGCACATGTGGCTAAATTTGATTAGCTGTGGCAGCCATCTTGAATCGAGCTGACTTCAAAAGTTAATCAGCTGTAAATTGCAATGCCTGTAAATAAACCTGTTCCCAACTGCTGATATACCTATTTATGTACAAATAAAGAGAACTATTAAAGTAAAAAAATAATATTTTTTCTGTTACAGATTTGACATTTATTGGTAATCTTGCACGTTTGCAAAATATTCTTTATAAACAAACCACTGATTTACTGATTTTTTTTTTAATCTAGAGTGCTTCTTTTAAACTGCATTCGCCTACACAAACATCATGACTTGTTAGCATGCATTTATTGTAAATTCCTTTTTATTTAGTCATTAAAAAAAATATTATTGATCAAGGTTTTCGTTTAAACTTGCTAAAAACAATCCCAAATATTATTCCAACAAACTAGTTTACACAAAAGCAGTTTGTTAATCCTGTTTGGTTTCTTTAGATCTGCAGATGTCTTGACACATTCAGCTGAGATTAGTGACACATGAATTTCATCCAGGGGTCAGAAGAGGAGCCAAGTCTAATTTAAGAACACGAGTTCATGTTTTTACAGCCTCAGTCCTGGCAGATCACACACGGAAGGCAACACTGCAGCGATAAAAAGACCCCAAAACTCTTCTGGTTTATATTAAATGAACTAAAACAGACACTTACATTGGAGAGATTGGACGCCCTGCAGGCAAAATGAAGCTATATTTAAATAATGCTGAATCAGAGCATGTTTTTCTGTAAATATGAGATGAAAAAAAAATCCGATCTGGTCCTTTTGATTCAAATGTTGTTTTATTAAAGCTGATGAGAAACAATGCTCAGAAGTTTAAAGTTCTCAATGTTTGTCTTCCAGGAAATCTGTGAAAACCCTCAGTTTATTGTGGACGGAGCCAACAGAACAGACATCTGTCAAGGAGAGCTGGGTAATATTTCAACTTAATGCAACGTTTAACCTGCTTGCTCAAAATGCACAACAAAATGTTTAATTCAAAAGTTCTTTTTTTAGTAGGGATTTGCCATCACTTTACACTCCTATAGAAGAAGAAAAGCTCCACGGTTTAATTTGTTTTTGTCTGAATGGAATGAACAATTATTACAGCAAACAGGTTCTTCATACCTAAAATATAAACATAAAGATCTTCTCAGACACCATTTTACGATTTTACTTTTTTTTCCTAAACAAACAGGATTACACGATTTCAGTACGGGGTTAAAAACAAAACAAAAAACACTAAAGCTGATCTAGAACAAAAATAATTTCTATAGAAAAGAATCTATTTACAGGAGAGAACGTTCCGTCGTGTTGTGATCCTGCTGTGAGCAACACAGATATATTAGATATATTAGATATATTAGATTACAGCAGCATTTTTGATAGTGTCCAAACGGAGAATGCGATTTTCAGCTGCACAGCTGTGATCCACGATACACGCCTAATAACACTAAACATATTTAGACAGTAAAAGGTGGATTATTTTCACTCAAAATGATCAAATCAGAACCCTAAATCTGTTTTTAGTTGATGTGTAGTGTTTCTGCTGAAGCTCAGAACATTTAACGAGCAGCTAAAGATGCTTCTAAACAAAGCTTCAGTTAATAAAGGGTTAAAGTCTTATTTATGACGTGAACCTCACTGAAAATCCAGACAGAACCTGAAACGTCGTCTGTACAAATTGCTTTTCTGCGCAGTTTGGACTCGCTGCAACAAAAGAGTGTCAAAATCAACCAGTAGGTTTTTAAACTTTTACAGTTTTATTTGATCTAAAGATGTTATGAAGAGCCTGAAATGTTCAGGACTAAATTATTTGGGATTTTGCATGAAATGCCAGATTTTTCAACTCTCTTGGAAGCTACAGACAGCTTGGAGAGGAGAGGGACCATCCAGGTGTCACACAGTTCAAAAGTCAGTCTCTCTGATGGTATAGGGGTGCATTAGTGCCACTGGCATGGGTAGCTTGCAGTGCAATTAATGGAAAAAAAAAAGTATATGGTTTGAGAATGACATATGGGACCTGTGCTGGTAAAATGAGTCACAATGAAGATTTTTTTTTCCCCAATATTGGGTTATTCTTATTTTTAAACTCTTGTGCTCAAAATGATACACTATTTATTTTTATTTGGTTATTTATTGGGCGGCTCAGTTCGTAGACCTGTTGCCGCTCAGCGAGAAGGTTGTTGTTTCAAATCCCAGCCCGGGACCTTTCTGGGTGGAGTTTGCATGTTCTCTCCGTGCATGCGTGGGTTTTCTCCGGGTACTCCGGTTTCCTCCCACAGACTGATTGGTAACTCTAAATTGTCCCTAGGTGTGAGTGAGAGAGTGAATTGTTTGTCTCGTTTGTCTCTATGTGACCATGTGATGGACTGGAGACCTGTCCAGGATGTCCCCCGCCTCTCACACAGTGACAGCTGGATATGGGCACCAGCGACCCCTGTGACCTGAAAACTAAGAAGTGGGTAAAGATAATGAATGGATGGATAAAAAAAATGTTTACTTTGACAGCTGTTATGGATGCTGATGGATGGATGGATGGATGGATTTCCCAATGCTACAAAATCTGACAGAGAAAAAGGATGCATTTACTTAATGTTACGACCCGGCTCAGCTAGGAGAAGGGGAGGCAACATTATGGAACAGGTTTGAATAAAAGTAATAATTTAATTGGTCAGTTTAAA